CATATTGGATGTTACTGTTTTAGTTAGTTCTCCGTTTATAGTGCCAGGATAGTGCTGTGAAGAACTCAGGCTTTGCACTCAGATAGACTGGGTTCAAATCCTGACTACCACTTACCAGATTTGTGTTCTTGATTAGGTTATGTAACTTCCTTATGCTTTGATTTTTTTTTTTTTCATCTGTAAATTCAGGATAATAACACAACTTACTGCTTAGGGTTGTTGAGAGGATTAAGTGAGATAATGCCTTTAAATTCTTTAATGCATTGCCTACCACACAATGTATATCACTATATATTAGTCCCTGTTGTTGTTTTGTGATTGTTATTATTTTATAAGGCATCCCAACTGGCAATTTTACCATAAACTGAAGTTGGTGGCACATGAGTGCATAAGAAGGGAGGGGGAACCTGGAAGCAACAATTTATGCTTTTTATTGTTTTCATTCTATGCCTATTTTTCAAATTGTTTTCAGCAGAGAGAAGCCTTTAGGAAACCTCAAAAGGGTGTGTGCTTGTTTAGAATATGGAGAAGGTATGACATAATACCTGTTCCATGTGGATTTTGATAAGGATTGAAATCTTGATTGGAAGTGATAGATCATGGTTTTGTCCGTAGAAAGTAGTGAAAAGAAAAGAAAAGGACCAAACCTAGGATGGAAAATGTCTCCAAGAATTTGAATCACTAATACCTTCCAGTCCCTATAGCTCATTCATTTCTTTATTATTTATTCACTCCTCAGAAGTTCACGTGCTATGCCTTATGCTAGATACTGAGATTATGAACATGGACAAAACACAGGCCCTTCCCATGGTCCAATGTGAGAGACAGACAAATGTATAGTTCTGATGAAATGTGGTAAATTTAGAAATAGAGATGGCAGAGAGCATTTGGAAACAGAGAAAAGTATTTCCTGGAAGAGATGATGGTGAAACCAAGTCTCAGGAAGAATCTGAGTTGGCCAGGTAGTGTCGTGTGTGGGGGCAAGGTATGCAGTGGACAGTTCTTGAGCAAAAAAAAAGGCGAGAAAAACCTGCCCTGTTTTTGTTTTTGTGTTGGAAAATGGGCTTTGCCCATCTCCTTCTCCTAAGACTCGTGAAAGGTAAATTTCTCAAACGTGGGAAAGGGGTTCTGATGGGGTTTAGCCAAAACCTAACTGTTTATATTTACTTAAATAATTCTTAAGTGCTGATTGAGAGCCAGCACAACCTAACAAATGTATGAATTTAAATCTCTTAATTTTTTCATATTTTAAAAAAAATCCTGATTTGAACCTTCACTATTGATATTTCTCACATCTGTCCTTTCAGTTATTGTCACATTTTTGGTTCGAGATTTGGTAATCTTACGTCTGCCTTAATGTACTCTTCTGTTAGCTAACATTTTTTTCCTTTTTGTTAGCTAACTTTAATCAGTGTTCCCTCTAGGATGCTTCTAAGTACTTGCTTTCCAAATATTTCGACTTTGTCTCATGCTCCTTGTAATTGAGTGTATTGGTGTTTGCATGATATAATGTGGTAGTCTTAGGTAATCTCTTGTGCTAATTGTCAGCCATTTACAACACTGTATAAGTCATATTTTCTCACATAATCCTATTGAATTCTCATGTGAGCTAATATATTAATAGAGTAAGGATTGGAAAGTTACTTTGGAGGTGTCTATACCAAAATATATCTTATGCAATGTTAATGTTCAACTGTCTTGGGCAGTCTGTTTGTGTAGGTGATAATATCCTTATACTATATCCATATATCCATGTGTGTGTATATATATATATATATGTATACACACACACCTATATATGCATAAATGCCCACAAACATATTTATGTATATAGCACATTGGTATATATATCTATTTTAACGGGGGAGGATACTCTTTTAAGATGGGTGTTGTGTGAAAGATAAACATTCTTTTTATCCACAATTATTTTGTATTTTGGTGATAGCACTGTGTTTGATACCTTTTGCCCTATATTTTGGGAACAAATTAAGGGCATTAAGTGTGCATATAAGTGGTTTATACTTTTTGGTATCACTTTCAACTTCATTTTAAGACCTTCTCTTGGTTTTATACTTCAAATTTAAAATCGATGTTATCTTCTTATATTTTCATTTCTTTGTAAGCTGTTTTTAATCATTTATGAAAGAAAAGGTGGGAATTAAATATAAGTTTAAAAAATTACAATCCATGGTGACTGAGTCATTTAGAAAAGATTACTTTATCATAGAATAGTAAAAAAAGTAAGAAATTGTCCTTTTTTCCATGGAAAGACTAATATATATTATTTTAGGTGGCAAAGGATTATATTATATGATTTTGAAAAGTTTCCATAAAATAGGGAAATTAGAATAGTTAATGTTCAACTAACCTAAAATGTAATATAGGAACATGGCCTGTACCTTCTACATGCTTACGATATGGTCTAGTGCTCTTTGGTTACTTTTACCTAATACGGAAATGAAATTTCATGCTAACCATCCATAAAAAGATATTACAGTGAAATGAAACCTTTAAAATGAAAATAAATATCTTTTGTATGTGAGAAATAACTGACAGGCCAGGAGCTGTAAGGACTGTAGGGAACAGAGAGAAATGGCGAGATCAGCCAGGCCCTGCAGAGGAGCTATGGCTTGATCTCTATTTGAAAGATTGAGTAGGATTATAAAGCTCATATTATCCCAGTGAGACTACATAGAAAGAAGGAAAGTAAGGAAGACACAGCACAGGACTCTTCTGGATGCTCCAGGCAAACAGAGGAAAGAAAGATTGAAAGACGGAAATGACCACACTGTTAGGAGATGAGCTAGGGAAGGAATAGCATTTTGAAGACTACAGGCTTTATATTTTCATAGTGGGTTTTAAAGTTTTCCCTTTTCTGTTTTTGGTTAACTAATTTTCTTTATCCAGTACTGTCTTTTAGTGGAGGAAAGCCATGAAAGTGTTAAATATCATGTTAGAAGAGGTGACTTATTCAAACTCATTGTATTATGTAGCTGCTTTTGTGCAAAAATGACTGTCATTTTGAAGTAAGTCTTATGTTTTATTCTCCTAGTTAAAAAACTTGATTCTTCAATGACTTGATTCATTCTCTCTGGGATTAGTCAGTGTTTACTTTCTTTGCTAATGGCAGGGTTCTCACTAACATGCCATTTCTTGTTCTGAGATTTGGCAGATGCAGAAAGCCTGCTTTTTATTTCTCCAAAATATGTTAACTTTACGGAAACAAAGCAATTTTTTAAATGAAAGAACTTTAGATATTTCTTTTTATCTACACTATTATACTTACCTGTTTGGTAATCTTAAAGTTGGCAGATTCTTCAATATGCGTGTATATGAATTAAAAATGTTATTTTTAGAGGTCTGTCGTTTACCTCTGTTGTTGTCAGTGATTTATTGTTCGTATAATAAATGTAGGATCACTTTTGAGTGATTATATTGATAGCATATGGAAAACATTAAAGAATTTCCTAATAATTTCCTGGGATATGAGCATGTAGGTAATGGTAGCTGCATTTCCAGGTTATGAACAGTGCAAAGTGCTATAAAACTATAAGTATATTTCTTGGGAGGTCACCATAACAATAAGAGTACAAATTGCCATTTACCTTTCTAAGATTAATGATATGTTTTCAAAGAGTTTCTCATATAAGCAGCCTGCCAAGTAGTATTCAAAATAATTTGCATTTCACTCCGCCCACACTACCTCTGAACACTCCCACTCTTTCTGTGGTTCCCCAAATAATTATTTTGAACAAACCAGAATGCCTGGGAGATTATAGAGAGCCTTGCTTTTGTAAGGTGATCAACAGATTCTTACTCAGTGATTTTTGGGGGTGGGTGCCACTTTTTTTGAAGGCTTTGCTATTTCCACATTTGTTTGTGTGTTCTTTTAATGCTTTGTTTTTGAGATCAAAGTTTCCTGACTGGCTTCTGGTCTTGAGTGACGCTTTCAACTACCATATTTTGCACCTTTGTTCCAGGGAGTATTTGAGGAGTCTTTTCCCATCTCACGTAGATTGAGCTAGCTTCAAAGTATCCCCATGGTTATCCCATGATCCCCATGGTATCATGTTAGTCTCACAAATGACGTCTGGTACGTGAGAAAGAGTGAGTGTGTGTACATGTGTGCATGCACGCATATGCACACAGGGGTGCTTGTGAAGTTATAAATTAGTGCTTATTTTAGCCATTCATTTATGATTCAGATTACTAACTGACCAGCCTACTTATCAACTAATCAGTAGTTATTTATTGAGGGTCTACTCTGTATATGTCACTTTTATCTCGGCAGAAGGACAAAATATTATATTTTATTAATACGTGGTACTTACTATCTTGGAGTTGACTGGTTGGGAGAAACTAGATATTCATGAACACGAAACAGTGAATTAATAGGGCGAAGAAGTATAAGATTATCTTAAGTGCCTCTTTGAGTGGCACAAGCCAGGAGCTGTAAGGACTATAGGGAAGAGAGAGAGAAATGGGGGCTGGGAGGATCAGCCAGGCCCCCCAGAGGAGGTGTGGTTGATCTCTGCTTGGAAGGTTGAGTAGGATTATAGAAGACAGCGGTGACACGAATGGACACGCGAGAGTAAGGATGCCATGGACGTGGCCTTGAACTGGACATGAAGTTTTTTGTGTTTGGGGAGAAATATTGAGAGGGTGCTGGCTGGATTGGGAAGATGCGACTGGAGTAGTGGAGCTTAAATCAGTTGAATGGGACAGATACTCATATATATTTTGACTATGAGATATTTGTAGACTTTGTTCAAAGTTATATGTGTTCACATTTTTATATTTTCCTCATCATATTTGCTTTCGACACACAAAAGTTTCTGAGAGAAGTAAGCAATATTAAATGTTTGATGAAAAATCTCTATTTTAACACAGGCTTAGTGTTACTATTTGCAGACATTGTTATATAAATAGGTACACATGTAAATATAATGTTGAATTGGCACATGAGAAAACTTAATTAACATGGTGAATTTTTTTCCTAGGCCGGACCTGATAGACATGAATACTGTTGCTGTTCAAAGCAACCTTGCAAATTTAGAGCACGCTTTTTATGTAGCAGAAAAAATTGGTGTTATAAGACTTCTGGACCCTGAAGGTGAGTTGTTTTCTGGACCGTATATGGACAGGCATGAAAGCCTGATCAAAAGTAGTCTATCAACATCATGAAATAATTTATGTTGCTGTTTTTAGATGTTGATGTCTCCTCACCTGATGAAAAATCAGTAATAACTTATGTTTCATCTCTCTATGATGCATTTCCTAAAGTCCCTGAAGGTGGTGAAGGCATTGGTGCAAATGTGAGTATTGATTTTTCCATTCTAGAAGCTATGGATTCAGTGATGACCAGTTAACTGAATTCTTTCATAGTACTTTTGCAGTTTTTAAATATCAAATATATTTTAAAGAATTTGAGTTAATATACTCTTTAATAAACTGGCACTCTATGTATTTCATGGCATCATTCCACCATTAAATTTAAAATATAACTAATTAAAACATTTGTTCTGTGTCATAAATAAAAGAGGCTATTTAGAGTTATAGGTCATTTTATGAATAAAAGCTGTAAACTCCTAAAATTTGGAGATTTTCATTTTTAGCTTGCTGTTGTTTTACAACTGCTGTTTGCTATGTATAGAATGTCTCACTTTTGGAAGCAATTTCAAGTTTATTAACTCATATGATCCCATGAAATAAGTAAGCTAGATATTATTTTTCAGATTTAAAAGAGGAGTCTAGAAGAATGTTACTGGATTTGGCCAGATTAACAGAGCTAGTTAGTAAACTCGTCAGGGTCTCTGACACATAGCTTTGGGCTCTTTATTAGTTCTCTGTTTCTCAAAGGTTTGTGTAATTCAATTCAATCGTGCATTTTCTAGTGCTCATGCTAACAAGTGCTTATGCATTTCCAGAAGAGAACAGGAAACACTGTATTTTGGGAGATGATTCCCTTCACTCAGGCTTCTCTTCTCCTCTGTGCAGATACCTTTTTTTTTTTACATGTTACTCTGGAGATTTAGGAGCTCAGCCTGGATTAGCTCCCTTGGATTAGGATCTCCCTTTTCTGGTCTCTTATCCCAGCTCTGTGTGCTAGACCTATTTCCATATTCTTCTGTTTCTTCTCTCGAAGATCTTATCATCTCTGGATCTCTCACTAACTTGTTCCCATGCTTGCCCCTCACAGTTCAGTGTTGAATTTTGCTTCAGAATGTTTCTTTTGGCCACCACTTGCTTTCTCTTCTCATGGCCTCCACCCTACTCCTGCCTCTTATCACTCTAGAACTAGGGTGATAGCTTTCTTAAGGCTTTCTGTCTCTATTTTTTTCCCTCTTCCCACCACTCTGCACATTATTGCCAAATTAATCTTATTAAACCTGATGTCTTTAGCTGGAGAACTTTCAGTGGCTACATATTGCTTGGAAGGTTAAATCCAATCTAGATATTCTGACATATGACAAAACTCTGCATATATTAACTATCCCGCTCACCTACATTTTTAGCTATGATTTCCCAGTATGAATTGTTTACTGATAGCTGGGGCATTTCCATGTCTGTGTCCTGTCTCACTTGGGACTCGCCTGTCTTTTAGCTACTCTCTCCACCACCCCACGCCCCAACAATTACTTACTGATGATAGCAGAACTGCTCAGAGACGACCTTTTCCAAGAAGCTTTCAGTGACTGTTTCGAGGCACAAACATGCTTACCTGATTCTTATCTTGACTTCTAGCATATACTACCTGTTTCAGTTATTTCAACATGTAATTACATACTGCTTTTCATTTTGCTTAAATGTTTATATATCTCTTTTGCCTCCCCATTTAGACAGTAGCTCTTGACAATAGGTATTATGTCTCAAGGTATTATTTTTTATAACACTTAGCACAATCGTCAAACATAATAAGCATTCATCAAATACTTAATTGAACATAGTAGTTGACAGCCTTCCAGTTTTTTCCATTTTTAAAAAGTTTGCTTAATGAGTACTTGAATAATTCCACTATATATATTTTCTGTAGTTTTCATTCCTATCTGGTTTCCTACATATTATATGACTCTTTCAACTTTCAGATACGGTTTAGACTTAGATCTAAAATGGTTGGCAGAGGTGGGAACGAACTTGGCTTATACAAGCTGTGACTTTCCCTTTCTTGAAACTTGGAAAATATCTAAATTGACCATGGATTTTTTTTCTGCTGTACTTGCATACAGCCTCAGAAGTCTTCTCAACACAGTGTCCTGTGGGAACTGATAGGCAGCCACTATCTTTGGCTCAGAATTGGCACTCATTGGGCTAGTGTTAGTGGCCAAATGTCGATAGCATGTTTTTAAAGCTGTTTATGTGGAAGAGATTGGGCCTGGGTAGAAAGTAAGAAAACATTTAGCTGGTTCTCTCTGTCAGGCTTCAAGATGTGTAATTCACAGAATGACTTCCGACTAAATCGTGTTAGATTGGAACATTATCATATACAGACATGAACCTTTTCTGTCATGTCGTTGTTCTAGGATGTTGAAGTCAAATGGATTGAATACCAGAATATGGTGAACTACCTCATCCAGTGGATTAGACACCATGTGACCACAATGTCTGAGAGAACATTTCCTAATAATCCTGTGGAACTAAAGGTCAGTCTCACTACAGAAATTAAGTAGGATTGATTTGATTGTAAACTTTTAAATAGTACTGTAATAATTTTGTGATTTTAGAAGTTCAAGAAAAGTTGCCCTTAGCAAGCCACTAATAAGTAGACAAAAATTTTGATTTATTCATCTCTCTGTTATAAAGAGAAAATAGAGGTAAACATTAATAATGAAAAACATAATAGGAGCAACATCTCAAAGAAATTTATAGTCCTTAAGCTTTGATTTGTTCAGTGTTTAAAGGTTTAATTTGAGAGAGTCTCTAGAACTGACATTGCCAAATCATTTTTGGTGCATGGGAAATGCTTGGAGCCCACTGGAAGGCTGGCAGAAAGGGCCTCTGGGAAGTACACACAAGTGTGATGGTGGTTGGGAGTACACTTGTGGTTCAATCCTGTTAAAAACTGCCTCAGAGGCTTCTTTTGTGTAGCGAGAGGTACATACCGTATTTTACCATGAATTTGAAAATACTTATCTAACTTTTAGTATGAGTGAATTCATGGTTTAGTAAAACATTTGCTAATACTGAAAAACTTAGGTCAAGCTCTTTGAGGCAAGGACATTACAGAAATATAAAAGACATGATAGATATGTAAACTTATCAAAGAATAAATTATTTCATTTTGCATATGTAGATCTGTAGTAGCAAAGTAGTCTACTTTATTTCTAGAAGCCAGTAATGTGAATATTGATTACAAAGCCTTAACTCCTTGTTTTGTAAGCTTTGTTTTCATGATCAAACTGAAATTGAAAAACACTGTAATAACCCAGGGTGGGCCCTGTTGGAGTTATTTGTTATGTTTCTGCGTCCATACAGAACATCTGTGGAACAGCTCTCATTCCCATTGCCAGAGGGAGTTTGTCTTTGGCACGAAGTTATTTGGCATCTGATGATATGAAACTTTTTAACTGTTCTAATGTTTTTTGTGTGATGTCTCCCTAAATGGATGTAAAACCTTCCGGGGCAGGAAAGCTTTTTTCTTCTGCCACCACGGGGTGCCACGAACAGTGTTTAACACGTAGTGGCATTCAGTGCTTAGTGACCGACAGATGTCCTAAAACATTACATTTTGAGCTCAAATCAATTTCAGATTTCATCTTCACACACACTTATTTCCAAATGGATTGCTATTGTCCAGACCCTTGGGTAAATTTGTACAGGCTTCTGATTAGTGCAAGATTCCTAAAGTTATGGAAGAAGTTTGAGTGACCACACCGATTCCTTGCTGGTTCCTAGGTTAGGACATAGTACAGGAAAGAAAATATATCATGAGAAATGCCAGATAGTTGTGTTAGCAAAACTTTGAATGGAATCTTTGAGAAGTTTGTCTGCCTGAAGATTTACAGGGTTTTGTTTTAAAGCAGCATAAATTATGATGAAATAATTAGTATATGCTTATTATATGTGGAGATGTTTTATCTACATAATTTTTTATGAAGGTCTTTGTTAATAAATACAATAAATTATATTTAAGAGGCTCTCAAATTAATATCTACAAATTAGTAGATAATTTAATTATATGGTTGAAGCTTCTATAATAGCACCATCAACTAATTGTATCTACCTTCGTTTATTAAAAAAAATCTGTTTATTTCAAGTTATTGCAGAAGTCCAAAGGAAAAAAAAAGAAGAAAAGAATCTGTTTAAATTGGCCAATAGGGCATTGAAACCAAATTTTAGCCTTATCTATCTGCCAAGAATCCTGTTTTCAAGGATATAACCATAAAATAGAACAGGTTTTTTTTCTTCCTTTATGGGAATTGCATCAGATTATTTTTACAAAAAACTAAAAGCTGAAGAGCGTCATTTGGAAAGTGCATCTTTTAAAGGATGTTTTCTTGTTTGGGTGATGAGAGATTTTTAGAAGAGCCATAGTAAACACTGCCATGGTTTGTTATTATCCAGATCCCCATATGGTACATGTTGAATCATGGCTCACATCAATAATTACACTGTCATCAAATCTCATATAACCCAGGTCTCCAACTGGCTGGGAATCAGTATTATCTTTTTGATTGTCAATTTTATAAAGGAATTCCACTGAATGAATATGACACAGTAAATAGCATTTGAAGTAGGGACTTGTGAGATAATGAAAAAACAGGTCTTTGAAGTTTGGCGCTTAATTTATTTTCCCTTTCATTTTAGGCACTTTATAATCAGTATTTACAGTTTAAAGAAACAGAAATTCCACCAAAGGAGACAGAAAAATCAAAAATTAAACGCCTATATAAATTATTAGAGGTAAGCTGAAATTTCCTTTGTAGTGTTAAGCATATTTTTTGTTGTTACGTTGTTTTTACATCTTTGCTTCACATTAAATATTTTTGTTTTCTCAAGATTTGGATAGAATTTGGACGCATCAAACTCCTTCAAGGTTATCATCCAAATGACATAGAAAAAGAGTGGGGGAAACTCATTATTGCCATGCTCGAGAGGGAGAAGGCACTTCGTCCAGAAGTAGAAAGGTAGGCCAGAGATGTTTCCTGCCATGGATCTCGGCGGGGGAGTGGGGCAGTCTTTGTTCTTGTGCAAAGAACTTAAGTTTTAGAGCCAGGCAGACCTAGGACCAAAATTTACCTTTTCTGTTTCCTTGGCTGTGTGACTTTGGAGAAGGCACTTAGTCTTGAGGATCCTTAATTTTCTTATCTAGAAACTCTT